GGTTCTCTGCCCACACTAGGAGAGTGTGAAAAGACGAAGGGTTCTCTGCCTACACTAAGAGAGTGTGAAAGGACGGACGGTTCTCTGCCCAAACTAGGAGAGTGTGAAAGGACGAAGGGTTCTCTGCCAACACTAGGATTGTGTGAAAGGACGGATGGTTCTTTGCTAACACTGGGGATTGTGTAAAAGGATGACGGTTCTCTGCCGCACCGGGTAGTGGTGAAAAGAGTGTGTTGTAAAGGCTTCTCTGCCTTGCTGTGGGTGCAAAAGGAGAGTCACTATTGGTATTAGTGCAATACTCAGAGGGTGCCTCTGGGGAGTGGATGTAGGTCTGGTTTTAGACCAAACTACTATAAATCTGGTGTCATTTACTTTACTATTTTTACGTTTCCGCATTTTAATTTTAGTTTTAAAAAAACTCTGTGGTTGAAAAACGTTTTCTACAAAACTTAAAAGAGAAATTTTCATTTCGGTTCAACTTAAATTCAAAGAGGGATTTAAATTTTTAAACTACCAATTCACCCCCCCCCCTCCTCTCTTAGTAGCCTTGGGACATTAACTTAGGCTTAACAACCTAATTACTAGACTCAACAGGGGTTTTTCACAGGATTTGGTATAAGCTTTGACAGAGGTATAGGCTTCTTTTATTACTTAATTTTTTTTTTGTTTTATTGTGTATTATATGTTGATAGATAGGTTTAAACTCAAATTCTAGAATCTAAACTACTATATATAAATTTAAAGAAGCTTAATTACCTTTTAAATTTGAGAGTTTTCTCAAGTTTTTCTTAGGATATAACTAACCTTAGAATCTTGCTTCTTTTGGGAGACTTAGAACCCTGATAAAAACATAAATCCAACATTAGTTTGCTAAAGTAGAGGAAAAATCATCAGACAAAGAAAAACTCTTATACATTTGTTAGTTTTATGTTTAAAATAATAGGTGAATGCTATTTATCTTTCAAGATAAATATTATGTTTCTTATGCAAAGTTTAATTATGGAAATTAAATTTGTTATTGTTTTCAATCTATAGTGAAGCATTAGTTTGTCCTTTGAGATGATATGATATTAGCTATACATATTTATAAAGTGTGAATTCATTTGTACAATTTATTTTTCAACCCTGCCAACCTAGCTTTATTCCTAACAACTAATTTAGAGACATTTAATTTATTTTTAAATGACAATTTTGTTCCAACAACACTTTTATTTGGGGGACTACTCAGTAATTCATAACAAATTGAATTAATTTTTCTTGCATTGCTACAATAAAAAATTCGTCTTCTAATGCCAATTCTATATAAGTAAGTTTGATCGTAGAGATAATGGTTGGGTGTCTAACTTGTTTTCTAATGCTTCGTTTGGGACGGCTTACTTACTGCTTCTTAAAAGAGCTTTCAAATACAAAAATTAAAATTTTTATACTAAAAAGCTACTTAAGGAACTAGTAAGAAAACCGTCACAAATAAAGCCTATGTCCTTTCCTACTCCTAACCCCTTGTGGATGGGTCTCTTATGATAAGTTCCCTAGTGTAACTTTATGCAAATCTCCAATATTTAGGCAAATGATTGTGAATTTCTTCTCTATCTTCAAATCCAATATCCTCAATTCTATGGGTAATATATTTTTTTCATCAATTCTTCTAGCTTCAAAAATTCTATCATATACACCAAATGTGACATGGGTTGAATCCAAAAAAATTTTATTATATAATTTAAGTTACAATTGAATAACATTATTACTTATTATGTCATCCAATTCAATCACGATCAAGCCATTGATTCTTGAATCTCTCATTTTTCTATTTATTTCTTTGGTCCGGCTTTGTCAGCCTAGAAAATGTTAGCTATAATTTTTTTTTTCAAAAATTACTATATTAGAAATAATAAAATCAGAAATATGCAATAAAGTATTCTACATAATTTTCTTTTTCTTTGGTGACATATGCGTTGATTAAGATGAAAATAATTTTTTTTTGTCTAACGCAATCCAGTAAATAAATAAAATCATCTTATTGCGAATTTATTCCAGTAATTATCTGCCACGCAAATACAACTTCTATTTCTTTTTAGGTGACTCAGGCGGCCAACGCCACGCCCACAAAAACCGGTCACCTTCCTCTTACCCCAATACTTAAGGTGACGAATTTAAATAACAAAATACATATCCGCATAATCACGTCAAACAGGCCGCACTATCGACGTGTTTATCAAATCGCAGTGAAATCCCGTCCCTCCTTAAGGTTTCCGCATAAAACCTTCTGTGCGACCAACAGCATTATTGTTGTAATTTCCTTTATAAATACCAATAGCCATTTTTATCTTGTTGAGAACTCACCGGTAATGGCCACCAACGAACTGATGGAAAAGGCGGCGGAGCTTATGGTCACGTTGCAACGGAACGTTTTAAGCGTAGCACGGCGGCTAAGATCAGCGACGGCTCGCAGCAAGCTGGACTCACGGTTCTCATCCGGACGCCACCTTATTCCATTTGTGGCTAATGGGATGAGAAGATTAAGCACCGGCTGCAGTTCGAGGAATGGCTTCTCGAGGCATTCAATGAGGAGGATAGCTGAGGATGAGGAAGAAGAAGAACAAGAAAAAGAGGAAGTTTGGAAGAGGACCATACTGATGGGAGAGAAATGTCAACCCCTTGAGTTCTCCGGGGCTATTTACTACGACAGCAAAGGGGCGAGGGTGGCGGCGCCTCCGAGGTCACCGCTTCAAAGTCTGCTTTTGTCCGCAGAAGAAAAGGAGTTGGAGAACAACCAAATTTCGCCTGCTATATTTAAATAATAGTGTGTTGTTCTGTAGTTTGAGAAGATATGTGTGTGTATTTATATAAATAATTATGTTAACAGTATATTACGATTCAGTGTTTTCGATTGTTCTTCATATGGTTGTGATGCGATTGAATTGGATGAGATAAATTCTTTAATAACTTTAGATATCTGAAAGCTTTCGTTTAGGAACTGAGCCATATTCGTTGCATAGAAGATGCACACATCCCGAAAGAGCTATGACCTCATTGAATACACGTGGGCCCTTTGGGACTACATCCTATCTGCCTTCGAGGGATTACTGGACAAACTTCATCTTGGTATGTCAGACCAAGGCATCATCAAAGCTCTATCAAAGAACTCTTCCAAATCTGTTTGTACCTTGGGAGTCACTTGGCTCACTATCAAAAAATTGGATTTTCGCAGCACATTTTTTAACCTTTCCCAGAGGTCATACACGCCACTATTTTTATTGCAGCGGTTGTAGAACCGCTACACAACCGCTGTATTTATAATGCGCTGCAACGGCATTTCGCAGTGGTTTTAAGACCGACATGAAGATATTTACAGAACGCATATTTTGCAGCGGTTATAACTGCGGCAAGTATGAGCGAAATCGTCAGATTTTCAATTTTGCGACGGTTTTCTGGGACTTTGTGGTGGTTATAACCGCCACTAATGTCCAGATTCTTTGCGGCGGTTATAACCGCCACAAAGTCCTAGAAAACCGTCGCAAAATTGAAAATCTGACGATTTCGCTCATACTTGCCACGGTTATAACCAGCACAATTATGGACATTTGCAGCAGATATAACCGCTGCAAAATATGCGTTCCGTAAATATTTTCCCCGCCGGTCTTAAAACCGCTGCAGGAATGCCGTTGCAGCGCATTATAAATACAGTGGTTGTGTAGAGGTTCTAAAATGCTGCAATAAAAATAGTTGCGGGTATGACCGCCAGGAAAGGTTAAAAAATGTGCTGCGAAAACCCAATTTTTTGGTAGTGCTAGAATTCACTCATTTAATCCTCTCAACTCTATGTCACCTGCTAATAAGGTTAGATATATTCACTGAACTAATTTAGATCCAAGATCTTGATAGGTGTAATAGTTGATGGTTTAAGAAAATTATAAGAAAAAATGTACACCTTAACATGCTCTAAATATCATGTTTGTTGAGATAATTGCTATTTGGTTTTGCATGTTTGATATTCTTGCAACTTGTATGTTTTTTTATGATTCCAAATATTATTACTTTGATTATTATTTCTCCTAACATATTTTTGGAAGAATTATTTTTGCTCTTGTTTGTACTAACATTTCAGAAAAATCATACTCCGGATTGTTGAAGACTTCAAATCAAGATTAGTTTAGAGTGTATTGTAAATTGAAGTCTATGTTTTTTATTTCATTGAGTCTGAGAGAGTGTGATTGTAATTGAGTAATTAAGCACTCGAACACCGGGGGAGAGTCTTAAAATTTATATTTTTAAACTAATCGTACCGTACGAAATTAGTTCGTATGGGACGATCTGATCAGTTATTTTCCCTAACGAGCAGTGGAGCGAACATAAATGATCCAAAATTTTTTTAAATACAAATCATACGAACGATATTTTTTGTTCGTACCAGGACGATCGGCTCTGGTTCGTTCTCGAACGAAGTTCATATGAACGATATTTTTCGTTCGTACCGGGATGTTCAGCTCTTGTAAGCTCTCGAACGTAGTTCGTACAGACGATATTTTTTGTTCGTACCGGGACAATGCCCTCCGTTCATCCTCAAATGAAGTTCGTACGGGCGATAATTTTTAATCGTACCGGGACGATGGGCTCTATTTTGTCCTCGAATGAAGTTCGTAAGGATGATATTTTTTAATCATATCAGGATGAATGGCTCTGGTCTGTTTTCATCTATTTTGTCCTGACGGTTCATATATACTAGCTTTGAAATTTTTTATTTATACCGGACGATGATCGGGTATGAATACATTTTGTACCTATTCGCAATGGGTTCATACGCAACAATTTTTGAACTGTTCGTACGTACAAAATACGATCATATGAGACGATAATGGATTGTCAAAATTGAAAAATTCAGTTTTCTAGATGGTTTTTCGTGTCATTTCTATAAAAATTCCACTAAAAACTGATAATCAATCTTTTTGTCACTTGGTCTTAGTGATTAGTAAAGGGCAATTAAAGGAGAGAGTGTAAGAGAGTGTTTGAGAGAGATTTCTTCCAAGTTGAGCGTGAAGATTTCACAAAGTTATTCAAAGGTAAGGATCTCTGTGTGTAATTTATGTTTCTTTACCGTTCCTCTTGTCTTTTTAGATTGCTCATGCGAAGATCTTTCAAGAAGACCCGATTCTCTGTTGACACTTGGATAGTGCGAACAGCCAAAGGTTCTCTGCCTACACTTGGAGAGTGTGAACAGCCGAAGGTTCTCTGCTATACTTGGAGGGTGTGAAAGGACGAAGGTTCGCTGCCTACACTTGGAGAGTGTGAACAGCCAAAGGTTCTCTGCCAACACTTGGAGGGTGTGAAAGGACAAAGGTTCTCTGCCTACACTTGGAGGGTGTGAAAGGGCGAAGGTTCTCTACTTACACTTAGCGGGTGTGAAAGGATGAAGGTTCTCTTCCTACACTTCGAGCGTGTGAACAGCCGAAAGTTCTCTGCCTACACTTGGAGGGTGTGAAAGGACGATGGCTCTCTACCGTGCTGAGGATTAGTCGAAGAGAGTTTTGTAAAGACTTCTCCGCCTTGCTGTGGGAGAAAAAGGAGAGTCACTTTGGTAATAGTGTAATACCTGAAGTGGGAGACTTTAGGGAGTGGATGTAGGTCGTATTTTACCGAACGACTATAAGCCTTTGTGCCTTTTTATTTCCGCTGCTTTTAAATTCTACAAGTTTTATTTTCTGTGGTTAAAAAATCATTTTAAAAATTCTAAAATCAACTTGGTCAAGTTTATTAATAGGTTTCATAATTTAAAATCCAATAAAGGGTTAATATTTTAAATTACCAATTCACCGCTCCTCTTAATTAGCCTTGGACATTAGTTTAGGTCTAACAACATATTCTAAATAGAATAAGTTTCAACAAGTGGTATCTGAGCATAGTTTCAAATTCATAAGTTTAGACTATTTTTTGATTAATGAGCATGGCTACTTTTTAAAATTGGAACACACTTGAAGGTTATATGATCACTAGACCTCCTTTGTTTGATAACATTTCTTTTGATTTTTTGAAAACACACATGTCTATATTTTTACAGTCACTTGATTATCATATATGAATCTTAGTACAAGAAGGGTATACACAACCAACTATATTAGTTGATTGCATTACAGTTGAAATTCCCTTTTTAGAATGGACTGTAGAACAATGTGACTTAACATAACTAAATGCTAAATATTTAAACAATTTTTTTGTGCACTTAAATCTGAAGACTACATGCGGGTTTTCACTTGCAAGAATGAAAAGGACATATGAGATAGACTTTGTATCACTTATAAAGAGACTAACAAAGTAAAGTAATCTAAACTTAACATCTTGTTACATGACAATAAATTATTTTGCATGATACCCAATTAATCTATTTCTGACATGTACACAAGATTCATACAGATAGTCACTTCTTTGCATATATTAGGTATGGAATTAACGAACGTTGAAATGGTTAATAAGATTCTCCGTTATTTGCCTACTACTTATGATACAAAAATAAGTGATATTACAGAGTCCAAGAACTTAAAATGTTTACTCTATTGACAATCTTCTTGGATCATAGTGGTTATGAGCAAGAAGTGAGTCAAAGAAAGATTGATGCAGGAGAGCCACAAAAAGAGAAGAATATTGCATTGAAAGTGGATGAGTCAGAAAGTAATCTATCACAACCTGAGAATGAGGATGACATTTTCTTAATGACTAAGCAATTTAGGAACTTTCTAAAGAGGAAGCAGAAGAGACGCAAACAGTGGAATATAGGTAAATTATATAAGAATATCAAGGTTTCAAATGATGTGATTTGCTATAAATACAGAAAACCCGGACATGTAAAATCAGACTGCCCAAAACTTAAAGCCACTCATAACTAGGAGAAGGTAGAGAAGAAACCAAAAGAGAAGAAAGGCAAGAAGAAATTCTGAATAGCTTTTTGGGTGGACTCAGTTTCAGACTTGTTAGAAACTGAAAAGGAGGAGGAAGTCACTAACTTGTGCTTGATGACCGATAATCTTAACCAATTAGATCAAGAAGAGATATGCGACTTAACTTATGCTAAACTTTTAAAAGTTTTAGAAAGAATATATGATGCATATAGGAAGTTAAAGAAAATGCATACTAGTTTAAATTTGGAATTGCAAGAACTTCATAGAGAGCATGAAATTCTTAGGAAAGATCATGTATTAATAAATAAAAATCACATGAGCCTACTTGATGAGTTCAATGATTTGAATAAGAAGAATGAGATTTTTAAAACATCCTTTGCTCAATTAGAAAATACTTTAAAAATTTTAAGGATGAATCAGTAAATAGAGAATATCATTTGATTTTTTCCAATCATGTGTTAGAAGATGTAAATGCATATCTGAAGTTAAAAGTAAAAGCACTTGAGGAAAATAGGAAAACCCCAATACTTGAAGATTTTACTAATCCTATTTTGTATCCAAAATTTTTATAACGCATGAAGAATCAGAATAGTTATAGAAGATTGAGAAATCCATTTTCTGGAGTTAGATGTTATAATTATGGATTATTTGGACATATCTCACAAACTTATACTTTAGATAGAAAAACTCATTTAGTGTGGAGACCTAAGATGCATAAATCTATACATATCATACATGCATCCATTTTTAATTTCCAAAAGGTAAACCCAAACTAGTTTAGGTTCCCGGGTCAAATATTTGATGATTTTGCAAACATGCTCTCATACAAAACCTCGTAAGAGTATTTGTTACCTTGATAGTAATTTCTCAAAGCATATGACTAGAGATACTAAGCAATTTATATCGCTGGAAGAAGAAGTGGAGGTAGGGTTACACTTGAAGATAACATCATAAAGAAGGTGGTTGGATCATATATTA